TAAATATAATTTAAAAACATTTTTTATGTACTATGATATACTCGTATAATGAATATATCATAAAAAACTAATTTGGTACAAATAATGAATAATTTGCATAACTAATTTTAAAACAAATTCTGAGCTTCAATATGATACAAAAATATTATTATTGACTGATTTATATTTAATATAATACGTATTATCATTTATCATAAATTTGCATTTAGGATACAAATATTTATATTTTAAAAATATTCTTTGAGAACATTTTGTGATCTCAACAGAGATATTATTTTTGGGTATAATTTAACATATTTTTTTTTTTTTTTTTAACAGCAATTTTGACTTTAAAATGTTTCTTGTAATAAAAAAACTGAAAAACGTAAAGAATAGTAAAAAAAAAAAATATTGTTTTTAACGATTTAAAATCATGTAAAAATATATTTTCAAAGACGTTAACAGTTTTTGAAATAATAGATGACTTTCGTTAAAATGATCAACTAGTACGTACATAAGTCCACCTAGCTATTTGCTTACTATGGAAACTAACTTATTCATCCAAAAAATGTATAATAATGGAGTGAGATAAAAATCGCTCACTTAATAATAAAACTTAACGAATATTTTTATACTATCTTTTTTTTCACATTATAATGGATTTATTGACATCGAAAACAACTTATGATTTTAGATATAATAATACAGACAAAGACGAAGGCATTTAACGAAGAACACGTAACGAGTATTTAATGATACCTACTGTATGAGTCACGAGTACTCACGATAAGCGTAACATAATAATCTTAAAAAATATAAAATGTTGTTCTAATAATTACGTCGCGAGTTTTACTTTTTACATTCTAATATCGAATTGAAGAATGTATTGGTTTTATGATGATTATTATCTTTATTTAATATATTTTTCTTTAAAACCTCATTTAGACTACAAAAAAGCTGATTAAAATGATTAGAATTTATGTCATGTATTTTATTACTTAAATGTGATTGTTTTACGATTATTTTACTATCAGTTTTCCTGAGTGTATCATAAGCTTTTGATAGTCACTACAAAATACGAGAGAACTAACTTAATATGATTTTAAGTGACTTCTGATCAAACGCTTTATTACTGCAATTATTTATTGAAGCTTTCTAGTTTGAATAATTATATCATCTTATTAATAGTTATAATATAATATATAATATTATCTTATTAATAGTTATAATATAATATGTAATATTATATTATTAATAGTTATAATATAATATATAATATTATCTTATTAATAATTATAATATAATATTATACATAATATTCATTAATAAGACAATTTATTTTTTTATTCATTATCTGAACATTTGAAACTGCATTCTTGTATTACCCTTTGGTATTATTTTTTCGTAAAATTAAAAAAAAAAAAACTATTGATTTTACTATTAATGACACGAATTGATTTTAGCTGTAATTCAGAAAATTCTAATTCACAATCACTGATTATTACCTAGTATACAAGTATATTTTATAGCGTATAGATATTATCGTTTAATAAAATTAGTATGTCCTTAATTTAAGCAACATATTCTTTTTTTATTTATTGAGCAGCTGTAAATCAATTATAAATTCATTAATTATTATGATTTGATAAAGGAATGACTTTATAAATATTATTAAGAATTTTTTCACTAAATATTACAGTATTTTTATTTCAGGTTAAATAGTGCCAATGAAAAATCTACATTCATATACTCGTAAGAATATTTTAACTCGAAACAAATAAAATATCTACTTGAATGTATAATAACCATAACAGCCATTTAGTTATAAACGATTATTTAAATTATAAGTCATTAAAGTCTCAACAACTAAGTATATGAATAAAATAAAAGATAAGATAGATAATGAAATAAAAAATATAACTTTTTACGGTGCTTGTAGGTAAAATATTAAGCAAAAAGTGTTTAGATTGCTTACCGTTAAATTTAGCTATGTTTAAATATTATAATAATATAATTTTGTCGAATAAAAATAAACTGTTATTATTATTTCGTTCCAGTAATTTCTATGAGAAACTCCGCTCCGTTAAATACATTTCAAAGTTTGCAATTCCTTATTCGAGACATATTTAAGCCGC